CCCGTGGGTTCGAGTCCCGCCTGGGCAGCGAGACCTCAACTCTACAATAAATCAAAAAATCAGCCGGACGTGGTAGCGCACGCCTGTAGTTCCAGTTACTTGGAAGGCTGAGGAGGAAGGATCGCCAGAGCCCAGCAGGTCGAGGTTGCGGTGGCCAGGAGCGGCCACTGCACTCCAGTCTGGGCGACAGAGTGAGACTCCAACTCAAAAATAATAATCATAATAATAATAATAATTTCTTTACCTGTAAAAACTTTTTTTTTCACAAAAAAATCAGAAAAAGTCAATTCTACTTTTAAAATATCAATCACAATTAAAAAACTGAGAGATCAACAGAGATTTTCTAAGTCAATGGTTCTCAACTGAGTATGGAGAAAGAAATGCCCTACTGAGGTCCTGCTGGTATAAAATATTATACTGACAGCAGGATGAAAGCTCAGAGATAGGAAGGAATTTGCACAAGAACAGGTAGGCACAGGTTTAAAAAGCCAAGATTAGACACCAGTTATGACTACTATGCTATTTTCTTTTGATTTTGATTGCTTTATACACAATTTTATTCTCAATAAATCACTCTGTATCCTATGAGAAAATGATGCTTCTCTGCCCCACTAACTCCAAGCTTAGCCAATTGAATTGTTTTGGAAGTGACATGTCTCACATCCAAGCAGAATTCACATATGGTTCTGTCAAAGCTCTCTTCTCTCATGTCCCATGATGCAGGGTGATCCTTCTATTTAGTGCCCAAAATGAAGAAAATACATGAAGCAGAATCTTAGCTGATATAGTCAATATATAATATAAATAAGACATCAATTTTTGTTATTATAAGTCACCAATGTTTTGAGATTGTTACTGCAGATGACTAGTAAACACTGATTAGTATACCCTGAAAACAGGATGTAAAAGCCAACAATAACTTTACTTGGAAATATTAAGTAAATCAAGGACATGCATATGTGTTTAAGGAATAAATATGTGCTTAAGAAACAGCTGCAAAATAAAAGAGCTTTATTTTAAAATACACCTAAGGATGATGAGAATTATTTTTAAAAAAACTTTCAAACATTCATTAAAATATATCTAGATTCTATAATTATGCTTAAACATAAAAAAGATAAATTAATCTCAATTTCAGCATATTTTCTCAATGCTGTGACTCTATGATAGTACCTATTTCCCAATTTTATTCTTACTGGTAGTCATATTTTTAAACTGTTACTCATAATTATAAACAATTTTTTAAAAAATCCTGTAATAGTAGCAATACAGGGATAAATAAATATCCAACTGCTAAATTCAATTAAAATACCACATGGATATCATTTCAACTTAACAAAGTAGCAAAAGTTACGAGCAAACTTGATTAATACCCAAGACAGCAAAGCTCTAGGTTTACATACATTTACTATTAAATGCTTTCATTGCTATTGCATTATTACTTTAGTAATAAAAAACAATGTGAAAAGTTCAGAATTACTACCTAGTCATACCTTATATATTTGATCAACTTCTTCTGGTTCTGGGCTGGAGGGCAATGATAGTTGAATGTCATGCAATGAACCACTTCCATCATGCTGTCAGAAAGAAGAGAAGAGAAACACAAGCATTAATACAATAATTGTGGAAATTCAGTTCAACCTGAATTTACCCCAGATCAAATGGCAGTATGGCAAAGAACAAACAGGATATTAAATTATAGAAATATCCTTTTTATCTATATGCACTAGTATAGAAATGTGAAACAGAAAAAAAGTGAGCCCAGGCAAAAAATAACCTGTGGAAATAAATAATATACTGTATGAGTAGTTGAAGCAGAGAGCCAGTGAACCATAGGAGAAATTCTTTAAGAATTTTAAGACTGGCCGGGCTCGGTGGCTCAGCCTGTAATCCCAGCACTTTGGGAGGCCGAGGCGAGTGGATTGCTT